AGGAACAGTGTGTCTTCGACGTTGAACGTTGTTGATGTAGAATAGTGATGGGTTAGGGACGCGTAGAACATGGCCATGGCGAACCAGAGCGCCTTCAGAGAATAACTGGACAACAATTTTATTCGCTGTTTGAGCTGGGCATCTGTGGTATCATCATTGCCATACACGACCTGCATTAAATTTAAAGATAATAAATTTTAGTTTTAGATATGCCGAAAGTAATAATAATGCAGTAATCTTAATAATGCAGTATGTTGTTTAAAAAATAATCATGTAATATGTGTGATTTGATATTACATGATAATCAATATGCACCGTGTCGGATACCACAAGAAGGGGTACCCTAAGCAAGATCCAAGAATATTGCTTAAGCCTTGCTAAAACCAAAGCCAAAAGACTACTGCAAGGTCTCGGCAGAATTTTCCGATTCGCCCGAGGCCTTGCGCCGAGGCCTCATGCGAAACAGGCCTAAAACGTCCCGCAGAGGCCCTCTCGGCGAGACCCTCTCGCCAAAGCCTCGGACAAATCTCCAATTCTCCGATTCGCTTGAGGCCGGGCTCGGCGGACGTACTCGTAACCTCCGTCCCGACCGAACTCCTGGCAAAACGTCACATCCGGATTAAATGCACCCAACCATTCCCGCAAACATCAGCCGCATGTAGGTACAGTGCGGGCAGAACAACTGACAGGACAGGGACCGGGCACAGCAGGGGTTACCTGCCACTATACTCATCACTGTGCTCCCCCCTGACACTTATACTGCCCTGTGCTACCTAACCCCTGCGCCAAGGACAAAGCGGCATGGAAGGTCGAGTCCATGTCCTCGTAGCCTCGGAAGCGATGAGGAGAGCCCCACTGCTCGGTCTCGCCTCGTCAGAGACCCCGGCAAGGCCTCGGGGCGCGCCCTTCCTTCTCCGCCTCGGCCGAGGCCGGGCTCGTCCCCGCATTCTCATCGCCTCCGCCTCAATTGCCCTCTCGGCGGGCCGTCCCATCCGTGTAAGTATCCCTAGTTACGCCTACGTCCACCCACGATTGGAGGTGGTATGGCAAAAGGGCGATGGGGACGGCGGTCAAATCACCTTTTACCATCCCCATCGACGGCGGTGCAGAGACTACGGCTCCCTCTGGACGCCCATTCCGCACTTTTTCACCGGAATCGGGTACGACACAGACCACCGAGACCCCTGCGTCGTACACAGGTCACCTCCGAGGCCTCGGCAAAGAAGGCCTCGGCACGATCAGCTCCAGCACCCGCTAGGCCTCGGCACTCCACCAGGACAAAAGTCCACCAGAGCACGACATGTCACATACGATGGAGGCCATCTCGACTAGACGTCAACAAGGACTCTTACGACTTCAATGACCTCGGGCATGGCTGCGTGGATTTAACCGGAGATCAAGTACCAATTGCCATTCCCGACAATTGTCTTTTCTGGTGAATAGGTCACAAGATCTTGGATCTTCCTTCCTCGCTAAGCCTCCACGTGTAGCTCTCTCATGTACTCCTGGCTCCCTCCTTGTGGCTATAAAAGGAAGCAGCCAGGGCCGTTTCTAGGGATCGAAACCACGCCAGCCCTCACGCAAAAATGCACTCACTCAATTCACACGCGCTCCCACGCTGCCTGAGAGCAACGACTCAAGCAGCCCGCACCATACCATGCCGAGACCTAGGACTAGTTCCCTCTCTCACCCAGCTTGTAACCCCCTACTACAAGCACTTCGGTGCAGAGAATACAAGATCGATCTCCTAGACTGGACGTAGGGCGCCGATTGCCTGAACCAGTATAAATCTTGTGTCTCTTTGCATCACCATCCAGGATTAGGGGCACGCAGTTCACATTTACTGGTTGGTTGAGGACCCCCGGTCCGAAACACCGACACACCGCGTCAATGCTTTTTAATCCATAGTTTCAATTTCAGCTTAGAAACATTAGTAGTCACTGCCATAGTTAGAGCAACTTCAGGAGACTCTCTGTATCCTCACTAATGGTTAGGAATATAATTTTTTATAGAAAAATATTCTCTAATAACTTTTTTAATTGGTTATCTAAATATAGAGAATTTCTATTCTAAATTTCTCGCTAGCCATGTATGTCTCAAATCGAAACCATGATGCACTCAAGATATTTCTTACATGTGTTAGCTAAAAAATACATAGGATTGTAGGAAATACCTAGAATAGTGTGGATTTTGAAACCCGTAGCAACGCACGGGCACGGACCTAGTAAATATACAAAATACATGACCGTTTCTTTTTTTTTAAGGAGATTTTTTATCTGTTCCAAGGGCCAAGGCTGGATCTCCAAGCCGTTTCGACACAAGCCAGAGCCCAATGGACGTGGGTGTGCACATGCATAAGGGCCCAGTGGGCCAAAACGGATTTTCCTTCCCATCTTACCTGAAGGATTTGCGGCTTCAGCGATTGGCAGGCCCACCCCATGATTTGACCCATCTTGCTTGGTCGGCCCTCCTGATTGCTCCCGCCCTCAGCGCTGCTCTGCACCTCCTCTTCGACCATGCATGTTGTCTGTCTGTCAGCTAAATGCTCATATAACACCTCTCAAAAAAAAAGAAAAAAATGCTCATATAACAGAACAACAGTCAACAACACCTTCCCCGTGTGCCCTTCGCCGTCCTCCTCCGCCGCCACCACGTAGGAGAAGTCCTCGTTCCCCGACACGTCCACGGACTGCGGCTTCACGTAGACGCAGGCGTCGTAGACGATGAGGCGGTCGAAGTGCTTGAGCTCCAGCTGCACGTTCTCGAACTCGAAGACGGCCTGGTGGTTGATAGACGAGCTGGTGGTGGCCCGGAAGATCTCCTCCATGGTCATGGACGCCGCCAGTGCGCGGGTCTCGCGCTCGATGATGCAGGAAGTGGAGGATGGCACGGTGGCGACAGAAACAGAGGAGGGCGGGAATGAGTAGTAGGAGCCCAGGAACCCACTCGTGCTGCCACCGCCGGCGCCACCGTAGGGATTGGTCATGACGGCACCGCCACCGCCGTAGGGATTGCTCATGCCGCCGCCGCCGCCGCCGTAGAACGGAAGGAGGGTGCCTTGGCTGCCAGTGGACGCTTGCAGAAGCATCTGGTACCTCAGGTAGTCGTAGTCCGACGCTCCCTGGACGCCGCCAGGGTAGACAGCCGGCCGGGAGGTCGAGGCCGACGCCGCGGCGGCGGGCGCACCCGCCGTGGTGGACGCCAGGTGGAGGCGCGCGTCCTCGGGGAAGTTGAGCTTGGCGCGGCTGCAGCGGAAGCGGAGGGGAAGTTGAGCTTGGCGCGGCTGCAGCGGAAGCCGAGCTCGGCCTCGTCGTAGAGTTGAGCTTGGCGCGGCTGCAGCGGAAGCGGAGGGGAAGTTGAGCTTGGCGCGGCTGCAGCGGAAGCGGAGCTCGGCCTCGTCGTAGGCGCGCGTCCTCGGGGAAGTTGAGCTTGGCGCGTCCTCCGGGAAGTTGAGCTTGGCGCGGCTGCAGCGGAAGCGGAGCTCGGCCTCGTCGTAGGCGCGCGTCCTCGGGGAAGTTGAGCTTGGCGCGTCCTCCAGGAAGTTGAGCTTGGCGCGGCTGCAGCGGAAGCGGAGCTCGGCCTCGTCGTAGAGTTGAGCTTGGCGCGGTCGTAGAGTTGAGCTTGGCGCGGCTGCAGCGGAAGCGGAGCTCGGCCTCGTCGTAGGCGCGCGTCCTCGGGGAAGTTGAGCTTGGCGCGGCTGCAGCGGAAGCGGAGCTTGGCCTCGTCGTAGAGTTGAGCTTGGCGCGGCTGCAGCGGAAGCGGAGCTCGGCCTCGTCGTAGGCGCGCGCCGCGGCCTCGGCGGTCTCGAACGTGCCGAGCCACACGCGCGCCGCCTTGTGCGGGTCCCGGATCTCCGCGGCCCACTTGCCCCACGGCCGCTGGCGCACCCCTGCTGCTGCTGCTGCTGCGACTGTGGTTGCTTGCTGGTGAGGGAGGGAGAGTTGCCGGGAGATCAAGACGGCCAGGGAAGCGAGCGAGCGTACACGGCTATATATGGTAATAAGTGACCAATCTGTTATAAGATCTCCCCCGGGGGCCCTCAACCAAAGATTTGGCCGCGACCGTACGCGACGTGGGCCCACCCGAGGAAACGGGGAAATATAGTACTAGTAGATTACTCTCGTTAGAAATTTAAAAGTTATTCTAGACTAGAAGAGCAACAACAACTACTACAGACATGTTAAGTCATATTTCTTTGTTCTTGCTCTCCTCAATATTTCCTTCTACATGGTAATAAGTGAGCAAGTCACTAGTGTGCAATAAATAAGATTTCCTTAATCATAATTTAGCTCACAGTTTAAAGGCATGTTTGGTTCTTTTGTCGGGAGAGGAGAGCTGAGGAAGCCTTGCCTCGAGTTGCTCATCAAATCAAAACAATAAGAAAATGGCCAGCCTTTTAATAAGTACACAAGAAACCGGGTAAAGCACACAGCCGGAGAACCAAAGACTGCCCACTCGGGGAAACGAGTGGGCCCCAGGAGTCAGCGAGAAGAGGGTTCGCGCCCTTCCGTTCCATTCCGTTCCCGTACCAAACTGTGAGTACTTTATTTGTGCAGACCAGATAAGGGGCCGTCAATTCCCCAGAGCATTATATGCCGGCCCAGAGGAGCCGGCCCCAGACCAAAGACTCCGAGTGGGCCCCAGGAGTCAGCGAGAAGAGGGTTCGTGCGGAAACGCTCAAAGCCTCCAACGCTCCATTCCGTTCCCAACTTCCCATCCCGTGTTCCGGCCCTTCCCCAATGGCTCAAAGCGCGCTAACCTTCCCGCCTGACCAGATACCCATACTGCTGCAATGCTTCCAACAAACTATGAGCCTACCCTTCCGTAGGCGTCGTCCTTCTCGCTATACCTCACTACGCCCCCACTACCATATAGCCGTATACGCTCGCTCGCTTCCCTGGCCGTCTTGATCTCTCCCTCCCTCACCCTCGCCCTTGATAAGTGAACAAGCGGGCAAGAAGCAGCAAGCAACCACAGTCGCAGCAGCAGCGGCGCGCCCCATGTCGTCGGGGGACTTCCACAGTCGCAGCAGGGGCGTCATCGAGCGCGAGACCCGCGCACTGGCGGCGTCCATGACCATGGAGGAGATCTTCCGGGCCACCACCAGCTCGTCCATCAACCACCAGGCCGTCCTCGAGTTCGAGAACGTGCAGCTGGAGCTCAAGCACTTCGACCGCCTCATCGTCTACGTGAAGCCGCAGTCCGTGGACGTGTCGGGGAACGAGGACTTCATGGCGGCGGAGGACGACGGCGAAGGGCACACGGGGAAGGTGCTGTTGACTGTTGTTCTGTTATATGAGCATTTTTTTTCTTTTTTTGAGAGGTGTTATATGAGCATTTAGCTGACAGACAGACAACACGCATGGTCGAAGAGGAGGTGCAGAGCAGCGCTGAGGGCGGGAGCAATCAGGAGGGCCGACCAAGCAAGATGGGTCAAATCATGGGGTGGGCCTGCCAATCGCTGAAGCCGCAAATCCTTCAGGTAAGATGGGAAGGAAAATCCGTTTTGGCCCACTGGGCCCTTATGCATGTGCACACCCACGTCCTTTGGGCTCTGGCTTCTGTCGAAACGGCTTGGAGAACCAGCCTTGGCCCTTGGAACAGATAAAAAATCTCCTTAAAAAAAAAAGAAACGGTCATGTATTTTGTATATATTTACTAGGTCCGTGTCCGTGCGTTGCTACGGGTTTCAAAATCCACACTATTCTAGGTATTTCCTACAATCCTATGTATTTTTTAGCTAACACATGTAAGAAATATCCTGTGTGCATCATGGTTTCGATTTGAGACATACATGGCTAGCGAGAAATTTAGAATAGAGAATCTCTGTATTTAGATAACCAATTAAAAAAAGTTATTAGAGAATATTTTTCTATCAAAAATTCTATTCCTAACCATTAGTGAGGATACAGAGAGTCTCTTGCAGTTGCTCTAACTATGGCAATAACTACTAATGTTTCTAAGCTGAAACTGAAACTATGGATTAAAAAGCATTGACTCGGTGCATATTGATTTTCATGTAATATCAAATCACACATATTACATGATTATTTTTTAAACAACATACTGCATTATTAAGATTACTGCATTATTATTACTTTCGGCATATCTAAAACTAAAATTTATTATCTTTAAATTGAATGCAGGTCGTGTATGACAATGATGATACCACAGATGGCCAGCTCAAACAGAAAATAAAATTGTTATCCAGTTATTCTCTGAAGGCACTCTGGTTCGCCATGCCCATGTTCTACGCGTCCCTGACCCATCACTATTCTATGTCAACAACATTCAGCGTCGAAGACACACTGTTCCTGGTTGCTATCATCGTGGATGCAGTGCTCATCCTGCTGCTGTCAAAATGGGGCAACGCCTTGGTCTACATCTCATGGCTCCTCCTAGAGCTGGCGACCTGCCTTCTGATTCTCTCGTTCAACAAACACTACGCCTTCGCCATCCTCGCCGCGCTACTCCTGGCCGTCGTCGTCGCCCTCCTCCAGCCAAAGCTGCAGCACGCGGCCGATAGGCACGTGTTGCCATTCTTCACATAGGACATGATCGGAGACGATGAGGAGAGTCCACACTTGGGCCATCTGTTGGACCTGTCGCAGGGCATCGCCAGTTTTGGCGGCCTCTTCACGGCGATCGCCGGACGCTTCATGGTAGGGCCTGTCAACGCGGTTGGTTTCTTCTTCTTCTGTGCGATAGCTCTCGGGCTCTATCTGTCCATGGTGGTGACGGTGGGAGCTGTGACTCGACCCCACGCCAAGTGTCTGGCTATTGTCGTCATGGTCCTCGTCGTGCTCACGTCTATCGGCGCCTGCATCCCACTTGTTGGGCACTCGGGAAGCAAGCCACAGGTTGTCACGTAGTAGATCCATGGATCTTTGCCTACTTAATTATCCTTGGCATTCTGTTTTTCTTTTAATTTACTTGTATGTATCTGAGTATGCTGTCCGATGCATGCTCAAGTTTGTGCAATTTTTTTTCTTTTAATTTATTGGTTCAAATAAACACAGCGGTGTATCGTGGGAATACAAATAACATGGATTTTTTCTGAATTCTCCTTTCATTTCTGTCAGCCGAACTGTGAGTGCTGTAACCTAACCTTGAATAGTTATTGGACGTGATATACTATGGTTAAACCTCATGGCAATCAGATATCAATGGCAGGGATGGAAACTTAAGGAGCAGGACATCACGAATGCAGCTGTAATCGTACTATATATTAACATTGAAAGTACCCGTGTCATATATTGCTATTTGCTGTATAGTGCAAATGTTTCAAAAGAAAGTAGATGCACTTATGGAAAAGAAGGCGAAAATGAAACTTTAACGACAGAGCGGTAGACCTTATTTTAGGCATAAGCAGATAAGCTCTACTCCTATTGAGAAGGGAACTTTGCCAAACTTTAATAATTTAATTAATACCAAATCTAGGAGGTCAATGAAACTATGTATGCAACATGCATACTGGATGAACCAGGTTACAGCACAATTTTAGGCCTGATTTACATACGGCGAGTGTAATTGATTTCAGTATCATTATTATGCCCTTCTCCAATAATAAACTTAGGGTTGTACTTATGAGGTTTCAAACACAAAATAAAACACAACGGTACACCCTGTTCGCTTGATCGTTTCTGTGGCTTATAAGCCGGCTGATACTGTTTTGTTGTGAGAGAAAAACGTTGTATCATGGCCGATAAGCATGGCTGATAAGCATGGTTAATACTGTTTTGTTGTGAGAGAAAGCAAGCTGCCAAGCATGCATGAGGCAGAAGCAAAAGCAGAGCATGAGGCAGAGGCACAGACCAAGAGCAAGGCAGCAAGCTATTGTGGGCCAAATTAGCAGCCCAATATCCTATCCTAAACCCAACATCCATAGCCTAGCCGTGTCCTCCCTCCTCTTTCTCTCTCTCTCAAAAAAAATCGTGTCCTGCTGCTTCCCTAGCCTAGTCGAGCTAATCCGGCCGGTGGAGCCCATAAGCAGGTCGTCGACCTCCTCCCCCGTTTGACTGCAACACCCACTCCCCCTCCCAGCGCCTCCTATAAATCCCGCCCAGAAATCCACCACACTGGAAACCCAACCCCAGCTCGCTCCTCTCCAAGTCTCACCATCCAAGCTCCGCACCGCATAGGCCGGCGCTGAAAGGTCCTTGTTGGTTTTGGTAATTGAGTGACAACCTAGGTGGACTAATTGTGTTTATGTGAGATACACAGGTGATTAGTCCACAGGTACATGTGTATGAGCAACATATGCCATGGAGGTGAAAATGGCTTGGAGATGTTGCAAAGCTCACACATGTGATGATGAAGGAGCTTATTGCACATGAGACATGACATTGAGTCATGTGATCAAGGTGGAGAAGATCAAGACAAGACTTGGCTTGATGGACCGGTTGCAAGCGTGAAGGGCAAGTCGAAGGCTTTGGAGTGATGGACCGCGTGGCGGTGAAGCTTGAGCAAGACTTGGCGCCGATGGACGATGGCAACGGTGAAGGGCAAGTGAAGTCAAGATCGATGAACCAATATGATCACGTGATGATATGAAGTGGATCATATCATTGTCGATCGTGTTGGTGCATGTGTTGCATCAACATTGGAGGAGATGGAATGGAATGCGCAAGGCAAAGGTATAACCTAGGGCATTTCATTTCACCGGTCATAGGTGTGTAGAGAAGTTTATGACCGGGTTTAGGATAGATGGCCGTACTATCAAGAGGGGCAAACTTGTTTGCATATCGGTCATCTAGTGCCACTCGAGTGATCTAACTTTGCATTGTCGCTAGGATCGAGTGGCGTGGCAAGTTGAGTGGCTAACATCCTTTAGGAAATGATTGTGAAAATGCTAACACACATACACATGGTGGTGTACACTTGGTGGTGTTGGCACATTTACAAAGGAGGTGGAGCTTGCGAGGCGGGATTCGGCGCTTTCGGGAAAATAGAATGCCTATTTTCTATTGCGCCGGATGCAAGTTCTTGTGGTTAGCACATTGGAGCAAGGGTGATGAAGTTAGAAGTGAAAACGAGTTAGTCGCGAAGATGCTGGCGTCGGTCAACTGACCGGACGCTGGATCTGAATGCACCGACGACATTGGCAAAGGCGCGCGTCCGGTCAGCCGACGACGACGATGACGCAGAAGCTGGAGTGTGACCGGACGCTGGCTGCGTCCGATCAAGTGTGACCGGACGCGTCCGGTCAAGGTCGGTACCTTACTGGAAATGACCGGACGCTGGGGTTCAGCCGTCCGGCCGATTGAAGCCGTCGCGTCCGGTCAGGTCAAGTGACCGTTGGAATCAGGACACGTGGCCGTCTGCGGGCGACCGAACGCTGAGGTCCAGCGTACGGTCAACACGATCGGAGCGTCCGGTCGGCCCGACCGTTGCCCAGTGAAGGGGTAACGGCTAGTTTAGCCCTTGGGGCTATAAATAGAAGTGGCCCTCAGCCATGGCTGGTGTAGAGCACCTCAAGGGACTTAGTGTCCATGCTTGTGAGTGCTTGGGAGCCCTCCATCACACATATACTTGATAGTGATCATTCGATTGTGTGAGTGAGCGATTCTAGTGCGATTGCATCGTGAGGTTGCATCAAGTGGCACTAGGTGGTCGTGTTGCAAGCCGGTGATGCTTGTTACTCTTGGAGGTTGCCACCTCCTAGACGGCTTGGTGGTGGTCTTCGTCGAAGCCCGCAAGAAGCTTGTGCGGCGCTCCGGAGAAGTGCTTGTGAGGGGTACTTGTGCTCGCTTCATGGAGTCGCAAGAGCAACTTTAGTAAAGCGTGTCATTGAGCTACCCTCACTCAAGGGGTAGGTTCTTGCGGTGCCCGACGTGCGGGCTTAGCCGTGGTGATGCTAATTAGTCACCGAACCACCAAGTGAGCGGTCGACACAACGGGGACTAGCGTGTTGGCAAACACGTGAACCTCGGGAGAAAAATCATCGTGTCAACCTTGTTCTTCCCGTTGGTTTGCATCCCCATTACACAAGCTTGCAATTACTTTTATATATCTTAAGCTTGTGTAGTTGCTCTTGTAATTAGTTAGCTTGTGTAGCTTACTAGTTACCTTCTTACTTGTGTAGCATAGAAGTAGCTCCCTTGCGTGGCTAATTTGGTTTTAGTAACCTTGTTAGTCACATTGCTTAGTTTGTGTAGCTAAGTATTTGCGCTCTCTAATTAGGCGTTGGTTGCCTTGTTATTGAGCATTGCTAGTGAGCTTAGTTAGCTTTGTGCTTTTGCTTACTAGCATGTGTAGGAGCTCCCTTGTTACTTAAAGTACTAGTGGCATAGGTTTGTGTGACCTTGCTCCTAGAATTGTTTAGGAGAGCTCTAGCTAGCCCGGCACCTTAGTTGCTTTATTTAGTATCTTTGCAAGGTGCTAGTGAACATATATAGAGGGGTGTAGTCTTGGCTAGACCGATTGTTTTAATTCCGCATTTATATCGGTTAGCCGACGCAATTAATTTTAGAAAAGACTATTCACCCCCCCTCTAGTCCGCCATCTCGACCCTTCAGGCGCGCATACACATCCACGCCGCCGCGCGCCACAAGCCTCTTTTCCGCTCGATCAGCTAGCTCCGTCGGTCACCGAGCCGGGCCACAATTCTCAGCTCCTGACTGATTAGTTTTTGGCAATGGCGTGTTAGTTGATATCTACCAATAGGCCCAATGGCCTATTGGGCCCTTGGATCTGCGCCCTGATCGGGGGCGCCCAACCCTAATATGGTTGGTGGGCCCCTGTCGCACAGCACTATAAAGAGAGGTGGGGATCAGGGCTCTAACAACGAGGTTGACCGGAGCCATCGTGAACCACGAACAGAAAACCTAACCCGATCTAAAGAGAGTGCTGCCAGCGACGGGAAGACCCACTGACTTCACCGTCACCACTGGACCGCGGCACCTCGCGTCACCATCGCCACTGGACCTCGCCACCACTACGCTGGACTCCACCACGCCGAACTGCCACGACACCGGCGTCCAAGCCACTGCGGCGCCATGGACCGAACGATGACCTAGGGCGAGGTACATCAACAGTTTCCACATCTAAGTAAGATGTTTACCCTTGACCTAGGTTACAGAGGCACTGTGTTTTTTCCAATAATGGTATCAGAGCCGGGTTAACAGTGTGTAGATCTAGTATGGGGTAGAGAATTGAAAAGAAATCAAAGAGGAACAGAGGGTTCGATTCGTTTCGGATTGAAACCCTAACCCTAACCGGGTAGAAGAAAATAGAAAAAAAGACTGAGAGGGTGGCGGGCGTCACTCAACTGTCGGTCACCACCGCCACCGCGCGGGGGAAAGGTGCCGCACCGCCGTCTTCGCCGGCGCGCGGCAAGAAAAGAATAGAGCCCGTTCGGATCTGAGAAGAGAAGAGAAAGGGGTCTCGGTACGCGAAGCCGAACCCTAACCCACGAAGCACTCGCTGGGGAAGATGGATAGTGAGTCCAGTGAGTCAAACCCTAACCCTAATCGGGAAAGAAATTGAGATGCAAAAAGTTCAACCGAGCCTTAACCCCAAACCCAAATCGGTTCAAGATCCAAAAGAGAAG